GCACGATGGCTGGTCTGCCACTGCCTACCTGGCTCCGTGGGCATCCACGCTGCCTCCCTGCGGGCAAGCTCATTTTCCCACCTGGCTGCCACCGGTGCCGTTAGCTCATCCACTGGCCTCTTGCTCGTTCCCCGCCTCTGAGCCTAGAGGTGTAGGGAGGTGACCAGACACAGCTGTGGTAGCCCACCACCCCGGGGCTGGCTAACCCCCCGAGGCTGTGACAGATGTCAGCTTGTGTTTGTGGCTATGAAATGGATGCTCGGGTTCTTGTGCTGCTGCCCTGAAACCCAAGACCCACGTGGCCCTCACGGGGGAGGCGTTTGATGTAGAGGTTTCCCAAATTCACCTCCCCGAATCTAGGGTTTTTAAAAGGAACACGCGGCAGGGGCTGGGGACTGCTGACTGGCTGTCTTTGGGTCCTGCGGGTGATGACGAGCCAGTTCCCGGTGTGTGTTCTGGGCCCGGCTGGGGCCTCGGGTCGCCGGGTACAAAGTCTTAAGAAGACCTCGACACCGTTCCTGGGTATCCCAGTAGGCGCTGCACTCACGCAAGTCATGGGGCCACCCGCTCCCGGCCTGGGCAGTGATGCCACGGGGGTCATGGGGGTCCCTGGAGAGGGAGCCACGGCCGCGCTCTGGCCTGGCTGCTGTATCTGGGGTCTGAGGAGACCGTGTTGGTGGGCCTCGCGGGCGGCCTCCCCCTCCCCGGCCAGGACCTGGAGGTGCCCGTGGCCTCCTTGGGATGAAAGCACGCCCAGAGCCATGGAACTGCCGTGGCTCTTCAGGGCTCGGGCTTCCTCCAGCTTTCGCCTGGGTCGACGTGCATTTCAGGCTGCAGCTTCCATCAGAGTGGGAAAGCAAGCCCTCTTCTGCCTTGTACAGACGACGCGAGTTGCTCGGGCCCTTGCGCTGGCGGACGAGGCTGGTGATTCCCTTGCAGGTTCCCCATGAGCACAGGGTGATGACGAGAATGGACCCCGGCTCCTCTTCCGGGAGGACGCACCAGGCTTCCGCCCTTGGGGGCATTCACGAAACCTCTGCTCTGAGGCAGACTGCTGGGACCCCGGGCCTGGCTGCGTGACTCCGGCCTCCACTTCCAGGACCAGGAGAGGCGAGCGGCTCGGGGCGCACGGTGAGCGGCCTGCTGGGAGGCCGGCGACGCTGGCGGCAGAGGCTCGCTGCAGGCCCCGACCGCAGTGGCCTATTGCAGTTCTTGGAATCTGCTCAATCCACGTGCATCAGAGTCTCAGGGCTACTTACGACCTGCAGCTGACACATTTTGCAGGTCACTATATTTTCATTCTTGCCTTCGGAAGTTAAGAATTCATCGTTTTATCTCCTTCAGTTTTCTGTTTATTCTTCTGTTTATTCTTCTGTTATTTTTCCCAAAAAAAGCTTTTCTGCTTTCAATCCTGACTTAACTCCTCCAATGCTTAGGTTAAGAAAGGTCCTATTCAAGCTCAGTTTTTTAAAGTTCTGGCTTGAAAAACTGTTTACCTGGGAGACTGAGACAGGAAGACCGCTGGAGGCCAGGAGTTCGAGGCTGCAGTGAGCTGTGATCTCACCACTGTTTGACAGCCTGGGCCACAGAGAAACCCCATTTCTTAAAAAAAGCTGTTTACATTTTCCTGTGACTGATGGCTGGTGAGGACCCCAGTCCTTGCAGTGAGTGGGGAAGCAGAAGCTCACTGAATTGCCGTTTTTCAGATGCCTGAGTGGAGGCGCGCGGTGTCATTCTTTTTTCTTTTTTTTTTATGTACTGGGCACAGAGAGGGTTCAGAAAGTGAGACTCCAGGAAGTCCGAGGCTGTGTGAATGGGGGTGGGCAGGTGTGGGGAGGGGGGCGCTCGGCGGCCCCTGCTTGTGAGCTTGAGGAAAGCTGACCAGTCTTCAGGCTGGGAAGCCTGATCTGTGCCTGTGGCCTCTGTGGGGCGGGCTGTCTCTGCTGATCTGGTGCTCAGCTGGCATTTCAAGCATGTGCGTCTGCATTTAAACGAGTTGCTCCAAGACAATCTGATTACGGCAGTTATTTGGTGAGAACAGCCTCAGCGGAATGGAAACTGCATTTTGGGTCTAATATTAGCCCTTGCTTTGGAAAATTCCTTTTAAGTGATCACAGGTTGGGAATAGCAAGAGTTTAACTTTGGACAGATGGCACTCGCCCACATTTTTCACTGCTGATGCTGGGCCTTGGGAGCGTGGACGTGAGCCAGGAGGGCAGGAGCGCTGCCTTGCGCGTGGAGGCTCTCGGCGGTGGAGCTGCCTCCCACCTCCTTTGCTCCAGATGGTCCGCGCTTGGGCGGGGACAGCCAGGGACAAAGGTGTCCGGTGCCTCCGGCCCAGCCGGCCGCCTCCTGAGCTGGCCGGCCAGCTGCCTGTCCCTTAAAAGCATTCCATCCGTGGAAACTGATGGCGGTGTTTCCAGATCACGTTGCCTTTGACTTGCCTTCAGGGTGTGTTTTGGAAGCTCTGCGTCTTGGATCAGGAAGGCCAGCACTGGCGTTTGGGAGATGGTTCACTGTTTTGAAAGTCCTTTCTGCAGCAGAGACGCAGCTTGCAGTCACTGTGTGCGTTTACTGGAGTGCCGTGTGCAGCTGCTAGCGAGTCGATGGGGTCTTAGAACCGGGAGAGATCCTGATAAAGTCACGGGAGTTTTCACTGAGTGGCCACCCGGTGGGCCCCAGGCCCTGACTGGTCCCCGATCTCAGCAGCCCCACGCAGTAGCAGAAACTCTGAGCTTGGCTTGAGAATGGAGGCGACGGGAGCGCAGAGAACTGTGGCCAAGGGCTGTGCTCCAGGCAGTGGCTCCTGGGGTCGCCAAAGCAGTAGTTCTTAAGTGTTTTGGGGCCAGGGACCGTGGCTCATGTCTATAAGGCCGAGGTGGGAGGATCGCTCGAGGCCAGGAATTTAAGAGCAGCCTAGGCAATACAGTGAGACCCTGTCTAAAAAAACCTTTTTAGGCTGGGCATGGTGACTCAAGCCTGTAATCCCAGCACTTTGGGAGGCCGAGGTGAGAGGATTGCCTGAACTCAGGGATTCAAGACCAGCCTGGGCAACTTGGCAAGACCTTGTCTCTACAATAAATCAAAAATTCAGCCGGCTGTGGTAGCTCGCGCCTGTAGTTCCAGCTACTTGGACGGCTGAGGCGGAAGGATCGCCGGAGCCCAGCGGGTCGAGGCTGCGGCGGCTGTGAGCGTGCCACTGCACTCCAGCCTGGGCTGCAGAGTGAGACTCCGACTCAAGAGAAAACCCTTTGAATGATTCAAGCCTGTAGTCCCAGCTACTCAGGAGGGTGAGGTGGAGGGTGGCTTGAGCCTGGGAGTTCAAGACCGTAGTGAGCCATGGGCATGCTATTGCCCTCCAGCCTGGGTGACAGAGCAAGACCCCGTCTCTTTAAAAAAATCCCTTGGTCTGAAACCTTTACAGAAGAACACTGAGTGATGGACACAGACACGGCCCTCCGGTCTTGCATGCAGATACTCCCTCTCAGGAGGAAGAGCTTACTTCTGTTCCCCAGCTTCCTCCCCGGTAACTTGCTCCCAAAGAATGAAATGAAGGGAAGGGGAGAGTGAGTAACTCTTCACTGGAGAAACTGGGAAGTATGGCCTTAAGCAAGTGACAGACCAGTGAACATGGCCAGTGACGTCGCGCAACTGCTGATGTGAAAACCCCACCCCAAGTCGACTCCTGAGGAAAACGCAGACAGACCCAGACCGGGGACATCCTGCAGGAGGCCTGGCCGCGCTCCTCTAGGCTGCCAGCATGGCGGAGGCCCCAAGACAGATCAGAGCACGCTTGGGAGACGCAGCCGAACGTGGCGTGCCCCTCGGGCCGGGCGAGGGCGGGACCGAGCGGGAGGACTCGCGGAATCCAGCCAACGTCTCCCAACGGCCAGCAGTGTGTCGGCGTTGGCTTCTGAGTGCCGGGAGATGTGCCCTTCGAGGCGCTGGCCGTGGGGACGCCAGGCAGAGGGCATATGGAACTCGGTCCTGTCTTTGCCGCTTTCTGTCGTCTGAAAGGACTCCAGCATTTGGTAGCATCATTGCCATCGGCATTTGGAAGTCAGGGCTCGCCGAGTTCCGCAGATCCCCACCATGCTGACGCGCGTTGTCCGGTCTTTTCACAGTCACGTGTGTCGGGGTCATCCTCGCTCTCGTCCAAACGTCTCCAGCTGCTGAGGACCCCTCAGGCTTACAGCGATCGATTCAGGGCTCCTAAATTCTCATTTTCCGCTGAACGCTCAAATCTCAGCGTTGGCCACACACGCTGCGGGTGGTGTGCCTTGACAGTCTGCCTGGCAGTCCTCCTTTCTTGTACGATGACGTTCTGCGGAGACAGTGGCTCGTCCAGTTTGCAGCACAAGCCGACCGACACACAAGTGCCTCGGGTGCCATGCTCAGAATGTGCTGGTGTCTCCTGGCGCTTGGGCCTGCAAGGACGCATGCTGGGGTCAGGAAAGGGTACAGCAGGCACGCGGTCAGGGTGGGGGCGGAGGGGGTTGACGATGCTGACGCTGACGCTCCAGCGAGGTGTTCTGAGGGCCTGACCTCCTTCCCGTCCCGGCGTCGGGGGCAGGGCAGCGGCCTGGTGCGGTGGGCCCCCCCGTTCACGTCTCAGCACGGTGGCTCGTGGCGTCTCAGTGTCCTGTGGAGATTGTGGCCTCACCAGCCTCCTGACAGTGTCTTGGAAACCCTCGGGGACGCTGGCCCCTCGCGGAGAGCCTGTCTGAAGGTGCAGCTGCCATCCCTAGGTCCCCAATCTGCCAGGAAGCAGCCGGCCGTGGAGGGTGGCATGCGTGGGCGTGACGCTCCCGTGTGTGGCATGCCCGCTGCAGCCGCTGGGGCCTTTCTCTCCTCTCCTCTGAGTCCTCTGTACTACCCGAGACACCTGGCATGTGCTGGGTGGCTCGGAGTCGGTGTGGCCCTGGGTCTCCCGTGTCCTTTGTGAGACGTCACCCGGGAAGACCCACCGGCCTCCTCTCACCGTCTTCTCTTCTCCCAAGGTAAATCCCACCTGGCCATCGTGCAGCGGGTGAACAATGAGGGCGAAGGGGACCCGTTCTACGAGGTCCTGGGGATCGTCACCTTGGAGGACGTGATCGAGGAGATCATCAAGTCTGAGATTCTGGACGAAACAGATCTGTACAGTGAGTGGCGCCATCTGGCGTGTTTGTCCTCGTCTGCGTGTGCGCGCCTGGCGTGCCACTGTCGCCGTTGGCCGCCGTCACCAGGCCCCACGAGTGCGTCGAGCACAGCCTCGCCGCGCTCCGGCCCCTTGCTAGGGACACGGAGGGGCGCGCTGCGACGGCCGGGGTGTCCTTCCAGCCGTCGTCCTTCTAGCTCTGCTCTTGGCTTTTGAGTGTGTCTTACCACGTGACAAGGCACGTTCTCCACTCACCTTTCAGTTTGCACAGCAGGCACACTGTGCTGAGAGAGTTTCCGTTTCTGTTCTGGTTCGTGATTCAAGCACGCAGGAAGCGAGCGGGATTTGCTAAGCGGGCGGATGGCGGCTGTGATGGGTCCTCGTCCCAGAACCCCTGGTGGGCTGCGGGGCTCGCGGCCTCCCCCGGGAGAGCCCAGCCTCCGGGACGGCAGGCTGACCTCTCCCCTCCTGCCCCAGCTGACAACAGAACGAAGAAGAAGGTGGCGCACCGCGAGCGGAAGCAGGACTTCTCGGCCTTCAAGCCCACGGACAGCGAGGCGAAGGTGAAGATCTCGCCGCAGCTGCTGCTGGCCACGCACCGCTTCCTGGCCACAGGCAAGTGTGCAGCCCGCTGTCCTCGCCTCGCGGCGGGCGGGCGGGCGGGCCGGGAGCGGGTGACGAGTAATGCCACTTTTGTGTTCTGTTTTCTTGTTTTTTGTTTTGTTTTGTTTTGTTTTCTCTTTAAATTCTCTCCTCTCCCATGTTCAGTGTCGGCATGACCCTCTGAGACCCTTGCCAGGGGTGGACCAGTACTAAAATTGGTCTGCAAGGTAAGGCCGGGTGTCAGTGCCGCACTGCATGCGTCCAGGGCCAGGCTGCGGGCCACGGAGGGCCGTGGCGGGCGAGCGACGCCAGCTCGCCTGGCTGCACGGCTGGGCCCAGGCTCCTCGGCCTGCCCTGGCGGAGCGGGGCCGTCAGTGCCACACAGGGACGTGGTGTGCGAGGAAGAACAGCAGGCTCTCCGCGTCAGTCTTTCCCACGGTGTCAGTGAAACCGAAAGCTCTGAGGACGTGGACAGGGTTTCCCGGTGGCCCCTCGGGCGGGGCTGAGCGTGGACCCCAGCCGGGCCAGCCTTCCATCCCGCCCTCCCAGCGG